ATAAATAAGAATAATTTTCTTATAACTGGTTTTAAAGACTTTTTTTGTTTTTGTTTTTTTTTTTTGTTACAAATAACTCACTTTGAAATACGCAAAGCAGTGTTGGTTAGAAATTGAAAAAAAAAACACCCAGATTTAGGGCCGTTTTCTCAATGTAAGATTGCCAAACCATCTGTCAATTAAGTTCTGGTTAATCTAATATATTTAGGCTGTTCACGATAAGGTAGTTATCGGGTTATGTGATTAAGTAAACAACAACAAATTGCGGTATGACAAAATAACCAACTTTGACCAATCTAGGCCCTTGTTTACAGATTATGTGGTTGTTTGCTTATTTCCAGTGTTAGAAAGTCRTTGGAATTTTACTAAATGGCAGCACAAAAAATAAATAAAACTAAGCGAATGGCATTTCCATTTAGATTTTCTTATTGGAAATTCTAATCTTAACAGCTGTTTTTTGTTTACAATTGCATTGTGACACTGTTCAGGGCGCAAGATGTTTGCATATTTTATATAAAGAATTTTTTGCACCCTTAAAATTGGGATTATTTAATAAGCACATACCTTCAATAAAGTCCATTTCCTGAATAGCAGAACTTATTTTAAGTTCAATTATAATGCTTTTTAAATTTTGTTTAGGCATTTTATAAGTAGGAATTTCATTGAACTTAAACTGTAAACAATGAACAGCTGTTTGTGTAAAAGTAAGCAAATAACCATACAATATAGGATGTTCACGGAGCATAGAGGTTATTTTTAATCTAATAACCACATAAGCCGATAACTACCTTACCGTGAACAGACTAATTATTAATTGTATATATTTAAAAATCTGCATAGTTTTAAACCTGGCCGATATAGATAAAAGATACTTTCTTGGCACCCTCGGAAAAACATTTCAAGTAGGTGGTGATTACAGTGCAAAACTCACGTCTTATTAATGCGAGAGGAAAAGCCGTATTAAACAATTATAAATAGGTGCAATAATTCTGTATGTACATTTCAATCGATATGTAATAGTGACTCATGTTCGGTGTTTAGTTCACCTAATTTCTTGGAAGATAATTGGCAAACAACACATGATTCGAAGCACCGTTATCGTATTTTTAACATTTCTATCGACCAATCGACACAATTAAATGTTCATGCAATATTGAAATCCCACAAATGCCTATAATTACCCAGCGCGTACGCGTCCTTGATGGAACTCCATCTCCAAAATTCAGGTCAAAAGTTTTAAAAAATAATCGCGAGCAAATGTCGCAATTGAATTCCATTTTTAAGAGATGAATATTTTTCTTCTTCTTCTTAATTGGCGTAGACACCGCTTACGCGATTATAGCCGAGTTAACAACAGCGCGCCAGTCGTTTCTTCTTTTCGCTACGTGGCGCC